GGGGCAAGGAATTTGCTGCGATCTGTTGACTGGAACCAAATTATCAGAAGTTCTTCGATAATGAAAATTCAGTGGAAGTTAAACTCACCAGCCGCAGCATGGTGGGAGAGACTGGTTCAGATGATCAAGAAATTATTGAGAAGAGTCATGGGAAAAGCATTACTTTCATATGAAGAAATGTTAACTATCCTATGTGATGCAGAAGCAAATATCAACTCCAGACCATTAACATTACGAGTCAGAAGATTCCACCGATTTATGTGCACTCACTTCATCTATGTTTATTCAGGATGTGCGAACTGAAGGTGTTCCGGATCTGGACAGTTTGGATAAAATCAGCTTATCGAAAAGATGGCGGTACCACCAAAAGTTACGTGTGGAATTTCGTAAAAGATTTAGAGATGAATATCTTGGTATGTTAGTACATCGACCAAAGACTGTACCTTCGTGAACCATCAAGAAAGGTGATTTAGTGTTTGTAGATGACAATAAAAGGAAAAGAACAGACTAACCTATGGGTCGTGTGATTGAAACATACCCAGGAAAAGACAACAACATCAGAGTGGTGAAAGTAAAAACATCTAATGGTGAACTGTTAAGACCAGTTCAAAGAGTATTTCCAATGGAGATAGACAATAAAGAATCTATCTTCGAACTTAAAACTACTGAATCATCTACATCTTCGAGAAATACTGGTAAAATGAATGATTTAGTAATTGATACCAAAAACTGTGAACTTGAAAATTCTGATAAAAACATTCAGTTTAGTAGATATGGCAGAAAAATTGTGAAACCAAAGAACTTTAATTAGTTTAATTTTATTTTCAGTACAACTATTATTTGTTTTCTTTATTCCTTTCTTTGAATTAAAATTTTGTTTACAAATTGATTTTCCAGTTTAGTGAATTAATCTCTTTGCTAGTATTTTTCAGAAAAGAATTTTTTGCCTGTTGTTTAAAGAATGTAAGTTTGCAGGATATTAAGTTTAAAATATTCAAGATATTTGTTACGCCCAGATTAAATTGTTGATTTTGGTAAGATTTAAATTACTCATCTTATATTAGTATTTCAATTTTCATTTCACAATTGTTTTGATTTTTTCATACTTTGTCAACTACACTAACACATGTCTGCAATACCTCTGTTACATTCTTTGATTTCTTGCTTAATTTGGCTGCAACACTGATATTTTTCAGTTTCCACAAAACAGCTTAAATGATGTAACAGATCTCACAGATTAGACATTTCAGAAATTTATCGTAAATACTAACAATGACACTCTACACTTCAGTGACATTTCTGTAGTGAAAATAGACAATCACTGAATTAATTCTTTTATAAGACTTTTTTTTTTTTTTTTTTTTAAGAAAATGACTAAAACCACTAATGTGAAAGCCTCTAAACAAAGATACAGTCTGCAGACAGTCTCTTAGGTATAAGGTAAAGCTTACTAAAAAGTCTTTTGCAATATCTAAGAAAAAACCTGACAATATACAAAATTAAATTATTAGCTGTTATCCAGCATTTTACAGCAAATTTAACATATTAATGTGAAACACATACATATATGAATGCACAATTTCATAAGCAAAGTGTATACCATCAAAAGTCGTTAATCCGGACTCGTCGGGACTTCGGCGATTCCGGATTATCGATTTTTCCGGATTATAGATCATGAGTTTAAATCTGGTAAGATGGCATGCAGAAATTATAAAATTAAAAATATGAAACCATAATTTATGAAATAAAGAACAATTATGATCTAAAGGGTATCAATATATATATATATATATATATATATATATATATATATATATAAAAAAAAAAAGCTTTATTTTATTTGTTTACTTTATTAAACATTTCTTTCAATGAAAGTTGTTTAAGTTGCTTCGTTTTTTATGTGATAATACATTCTCTTTAATTCTATAAACAGACATAATTTCTTGTTCAGTTACAAAGTTCCGCTGTTCAAGTCCTATAATTGCTGTGGCTACCGACTAATTTCTCAATCGAAACTGTTTTGTTTTCAATAACCTGTGTCACTTTCTTCACTATCGGAAGCGAATTATAATGACGAGGAATTTGATTTAAATCATATCAAAAATGGAGTACATTGAGATGAAATACTACATTTAGTAAGGAATTATAAGCCAAATAAAATAAAAACATCTGCCCTGAAGATAAGGATAGTGCTGCTGACAGATCAACTTCCAATTCATTGCGAGCAGCACCGCGGCGATAAAGATAAACAAAGTTTAGATAAACAAACGTTAAAGTTTAGATAAACAAAGGATATGCCTTTGTCCATTTTTTGCAGCAATTCCACTTTTTGTTTAATGAAATTCGAAACATACTTTTGCTTTGTAGATCCTTTACATATTAATAAATATATATCAGAAATTCTATTTGACATAATCGAAAGTTCAAGCTTACTTTTATAAAATTGCTCTAACAGTCTGCAAAAAATAATAAGCCGGATCCAATTCGAAGATTAAGGAACAACACAATCTGCAACATTAACTGAAATAGATAATTAGATAATTTTAGCTTAGCTTATACCGTCCGTTATACATTAAACGTGCACTCGTAAACATATTTTGCACACGCGCACAAGCATATTAGCAGCCGTAAAGGTCTTACGCGCATGCGTTAACGCGACGCATGCACAGAAAGTTTGTAGCTTTGAGGTCCGGATTATAGATCATTCTGGATTATGGGTATCTGAATTAACGACTTTTGACTGTATATTTTTTATTTATTAAAATTAATTTGTGTTCCACTACATAACTTCACATAGTTGCCTAACATTTTGATAGCTAATGTTTCAAAAAATAACTGCTAACTTAAATTTATTTTGTAAGAAAAAGAAGGTAAGTTATGGGAACTGTTACAATTATACTTTTCTTCGCCATCAATTGAAAGTTCAGTATAATTAGCTAGGCTCATATGCTTTGATATACACAAATAACCTAACCAGTATAATCAGAAAGACATTTGGCTATGATGACTTTAGATTAGAACTTGAAGCATGTTCATTAATGTGCACCAGAGCTAAAGAAACAGCTAGAAGAAAGAGAATGGTTCATGTAATGTAATTTTGGTAAGCTGTTCAATTATTCAATAAACTATTCTTAACATTTTTACCAAAAGGGTTTTCAGAAGAATTTTCCTAACCCAAAAGTTTTTATGTGTATATGTTTAATCCCGATAAATAATATTCCACACTCTGTATAGCATCTAGTCTATCAATATTCAAGGGTGCATACTTTATAAGGTATTTCTCCTGCCTTCGTAGTGTAGTAGTCTGCACACTGGGTGCGTATTCCAGAGGTCAGTAGTTCAATTCCCGACGAGGGCGTCGCTCATTTCTCATCTCTTCTGCTTTATTAAAAATAACCTAATGACTGTACAACTTCACATTCTGTCATAATATCACCCATATAAATAAATGAACTTTTAACAATGGGTCCATGAAAGCAAGTTAAAACAGATTTAATATTTTTTTTTTTTTTTTTTTTTGATATCTTCTTTTAGCCTGAGTACATCAGTAAAACTTTGCATTTTCATCATTTTCTGTATGACACAAACTACAAAATTAACTTTTCTGTATAAGAAACATTTCTTAGAACACTCAGTTAGTTCACATAAGAAGTTTGACTTCTCATTCCCCCCCCCAAAAAAAAACAGTAAACACATTGATTTTAAAATTGAATTTTTTGAATTGTGCCAGCATTGCAGTCAATAAGCAATACAGTCAAAAGTCTTTAATCCGGACTCGTCGGGACTTCCGCGAGTCCGGATTATTGGTTTTTCCGGATTATAGATCATCAGTTTAAATCTGGTAGGATGGCATACAGAAATTATAAAATTAAAAATATGAAACCACGATTTATGAAATAAAGAGCAATTATGATCTAAAGGGTATCAAAATTTACAAAAAAAAAGCTTAATATTTATTTGTTTACTTTATCAAACATTTCTTTCAACGCACGCACGCGTAAAGCATACATTACGCATAGTCGAAATTAGAAAATTGCAACCAGAAAACTATTTGATGTGTATTCATGATATTTTATAATGATGGAAAATTTGATTTAAATCATATCAAAGACGGAATACATCGAGATGAAATACTACATTTAGTAAGGAATTATAAGCCGAATAAAATAAAAACATCTGCCCTGAAGATAAGGATAGTGCTGACAAATCAACTTCCAGTTCATTGCGCGCCTCGACGTTCTCTCCCCCACCTCCCTGCAGAGCAGTGTGAAATTGATAAACAGATTTCGGAATGGTTAGAGAAACAAAGGATATGCCTTTATCCTTTTTTTTGCAGCAATTCCACTTTTTGTTTGATGGACATCGAAACATGCTTTCACTTTGTATATCCTTTGGCAGCTCCAGAATCGGAAATTCTTTTTGATATAATTGAAAACTCAAGCTTACTTTCATAAAATTGCTCTAACAGTCTGCAAAAAATAATAAGTCAGATCCAATTAGAAGATTAAGGAACAACGCAATCTGCAACATTAACTGAAATAGATAATTAGATAATTTTAGCTTAGCTTATACCATCCGTTATACATTAAATGCACATGCGTAAACGTATTATGCGCATGCGTAAACGCATTATATGTTTACGCATGCGCGGAAAGTTTGTAGCTTTGAGGTCCAGATTAAAGACTTTTGACTGTATCATGCATTATTGGAGCCACATTCATGCATTTGTTCAAATCACACATAAAAGAATAATGAAAAAACAAACATCTCGATATTTTTGCCGTATAATGTATAATGCCATAAAAATATTTATTAAATATTATTGTAGTTTATCTGAATGTTTGTACAGATCTCATGAATAAACAGTTGGAATAGTATAGGAAGCTTAATGTTTTATAGCAGATTTATTCAATTAAATCTTACAAGTATGCATTTTAACAAGATTTTAAACTTAACCGAGGATATTTCAAATATGAAAATGCATTAAAAATATTACTTACAGACATGGACATGACTGACTTAATAAGCTGCTTAGTCTCCAAGCTCTTTAAAATTTTTGTAATTTGCGGTTGTGGCAAATTACATTTAAACTTGAGATCTTTGGGAGTAATACCTATTTTTCAAAGAATAAATTTAAATAAAGTGACATATAAAAGATCTGAGAAGAAGCAAATTTGATAAAAATGAGTATCAGTTAAACTTACCATTATTTCCAGCCCTCTCAATAGCCTCAAGAATAACTTTCTCTTCGATCCCTGCTCCTTGGCCTATCCTGACAAGAAAAATTTAAAACATATTGGCAATTAAAATTTTTCTAATTGCAAAATACTTTCTTAGTATTAATATACTATAGAAAAAAAAAACAAAGTAAAAGGTGTTTAGATTTTAACAGTTGCCCAAAAGGGCTCTTTTAAAGTTACATGTTTTATCAGTAGAGATATAAATATGGGCCATGTCTATAGATAATCATTTCTATAGACATGACCCCCATGGAATAGTGAAACATTTTATAGGATATTGGATAAATTTAGGCTAACATAGGAATATTCTACATTTTCTGTATATCTGAAAAGTGAAAGTACATGTAACGAAGTTGTATAAAAATGTTTAATGTTTTTGTGAGAAATATCATGAATTAAATGCATTTTTATTAAAACCAATCCAATTGCTTCGGAATTGTTTCTTTGTCAGAATAGACTCAAATTTTTTGGCTACTGTTTTAAACTTATGTATCCAATTTTAGTCAGTTCTTTCGTTAATTACACAGAACGTGGAAGAGGAATTCCTTTTGAATTTCTATATTTCCTTGATTGAATTATGGAACACGGTTAAAATATCACAGAATTAGTAATGAAAATTAAAATTTTACTCTGTAAGCCTTTTGTTCTGCAAATAAATGCATGGACTCGTCATAATTTGATCTGCGGTTTGATTTTCGGTTGCCAGAATCGAGAGACATTATAAACGCTCCTGCCCCACCGATGATCGTAGATATTTTTTAATATGTTTTAATTTGCTGAAACTTCGATCTAAACAGGTTGAAGTGCTTGGGATTTGTCCTCAAACAGTTCATCACATTGCTTTTTGTGCTTTGGAATTCTTTGTCAGGATAGACTCAATTTTTTTGGCTACTGTTTTAAACTTATGTATCCAATTTTAGTCAGTTCTTTTGTTAATTACACAGAACGTGGAAGAGGAATTATTTTTGAATTTCTATATTTCCTTGATTGAATTATGGAAAAATATTAGCTCAAATTTTCAGGTTGATGGTAAATTCAAAAATTTTACACAGCATGTACCAGATGTCCTATCTCTTGCTTTGATTCCACATCAAGAGAAATATCTTTAATTTATTTTAACTATTTTGTATTTCCGATAAATTCATTGAAAGAACTTTCACAGCCACATATTTTGCTGACCATTTTGTCTGGCTGCTTCCTTTTAAGTTGTATTTTGTACATTATTCATAATATACCATCGAGCAGTGCATCCGACAAAAAGGCTGATAAAAAAAATGTTTTGATCATTTGCGATGCACAATCAATAATTGATCTGAAACTTTGATTGTGGTTTATGGTGTGGAAAGCAAATAGCCCTTCAGCTAATGCTAGCTGTTTCTCTGTTTAACAATACATATTCCTTGACGACGAGATGTAACGACAATGATCAAACACCACCGAGTAAATCCAACTCATTACATCGCTTAATTTAGTTTACTCTGCATGCATTTTATGTCTTTTTTTATTTCTTTATATTCACTATAATAATTAATAAATAATAGGTAATATATTTTTATAGTAAATTTAAAATAAGAAATGCAGATGTTTTCTAAAAAAGGCGGGACATTTTTAAAAATCGGCGGGACGCGGGACAGTCCTGCCAAAATCGGGATGTGTGGTCACTTTACACTAAATTGTCTATCAAAATTTGTTCATTCTCAGCAAACCTCTCAGTCACTTTCTTCATTATAGATAGCAATATTTTCTAGATTTAGAGCAATGCTACAAATTTTGCAATTCATTAGTTGATTTGATGATTGAGGGGCTGCCTTCGTAATGAAAAACTTCTGGCATGCCATCTTCATTTACTATCACTTCTCCACACTTTTTCACTAAGTCCATTAGTTGGAAAATTTTGCTTTTTGTTTGCAATAGCCACATCTTTCAAATTCATGGCTATCAGCATAAATCTTAGCTAGCATCTGCTATACACTCTTTGTGATGTATTACGAGACTGCCGACTAGATACCAAATTTTCTCTCATTCTATCACACACACTAACAAAGTTAAGCCTGAATTACAATGGTGTGCAAAAATTAAGGACAATATTTTTTTTTTTTCTCAATATCAGATTTACAGGACTGGAGCAATGAACATTGTGCAAAGTTTCCAAATCAACAAAAATAATACCATAAGATCGCCAAGATATAAGAATATGGGTAATGTAAGCTAAACTTGCCGAAAAAGAAATCAAAGTGATAAAAAGTAACTTTACTGAAAAAGCAGCATGGAGCACAATGCAACAGAAGGCCGAAATATTCATGTGACTCTTTGCAGCAATATTTATTATAACATATCCTTTACAGTAAGATTTAAAGTAAACTATACTAAATTGCACTTCAAATAATTCTCTAGTACATAAATTGTACTGAAAAAGAAAACAATAGCTTACTTGGCAGCAGTCTGATTTTTCAGAACATATACTAACATCTTGCCTCTTTTCAGAATATCTATTTTATTCTAAAAATATAAAAAATTAAATCTTGGTTGATTGGAGGATTATGTTTTTAAAATTTTTATGAATTTAAATAATATAAAATACATAAAGAAATTCTAAAATTCACATTTAAAATTAAAAAAAAAACCTTTACAAAGAAAATATGATGCCGGACAATTACTAAGGATGGATTACAAATTTCACTGTACTAAGCAAAAGTGAAGGCTAATAAACAAGAGAAAATCCTGCTGCTACACTGTTTGGACATTAGAATTGAGAACATTTATTGTTCAGGAAGATACAGAATGTTTTGAAACATCCAAAAGTAGAAAAGTGTTCTTTTGATGCTGTGTACGAAAAAAAAAAAAAAAAAAAAGCAGTCACATTTGAGAAAGGTTTCAGTATGAGGTATGTTCATTAAGGAGTAAGATGCAACCTTCCATGTCATGTCTTGCTTTGCACGGGACTATTCAGCAGCAGTAGAAGCAATTGCTCCCACTCTTCTGTTGGAGCACAGAAGAAGGCATTTTATTGGAGGATGTTTTCAACCAGTAAATCGCCTCCACATCATTCAAAACAATTTCAGTGAGGTTTAGATTTGGAGAACGTGCTGGCCATATCTCGCTGTCTTAGGCTCCGTTCAGATGGTGGTAAAAATGTCACATCTGGTTTAAGATGAACTTTGCTGCTAGGTAACCACACCTTGCCATGTCACAATAACTGGTTTAGGGGTTTGAGCATAAAGTTCAAAGTTTTCAACTCTCTGCCAGCTTGGTATAAGAGTCAACTAATCCGAGAAAATGGCAAAACCTATTGAGTGGAAAACAGAGTGTGAAAGCTGTAGACACATTCATAAATTAAATCGGCAAATTTAGCTTCCCTAATTGGCTACGGCTTAGACCCATGTCACAGGCCTGAATGGCATTCCCGTATTTTATGCATTATGACTATGTCTCTATGACATTTATGCCACATCAGAATAGTCTTAGACAGTACGCAACAGCAAGTGTTCAATGATATTGTGTGCTGTCATCAAGAAATAAATTTATTATAGAGAGCACCAAGGAAAAGGCAAATACTAGGCAGTACAACTTCACTGATGTATCAATACTAGGCAGTACAACTTCACTGATGTATCATTGGTCGGTCAATTGTTGGTTGGTTCTACTGCCTCCCAAATGTAGAAATCAAGGCAATAGATCATGGATGCGTACCCATACCGCATTAGTGAGATGTTAACAGTGTTTTAATTGTTACTCATAATCAGGGACGTAGCCTGAATTTCCATAAAGACATGCTGCCAAACACCAAATGTTTTGAAAATTATATTAACAAATGAAAATTAGAATTACATGTATTGGAAAGTGGAATATTCTTTTTGCGCATTAATATGTTGTTAAACATTTATGCTGCATCTCAGATATTGGTCCTTTTCCTATATATCTCCTGGACTTTATGTAGTACCACTTTCATGTTAGATCAATTGGTGTCTACAGTCCAATGACAGACTGAAACTAGTGTCATCTGTAAAAAATGTGCAAGTTCAGTCTTTAGTCTAACTGTGATGCTTGCAACACCATTGCAAATGGGCGGTATGTCATTATCTGGACCAGCGATCGCCAACCGGTGGTCCGTGAAAACGTTTTGATCGACCGCAGAATATTTGGGACATTATTTATATTTTTATGAAGATTCAGTTTAAAAAATGACAAGTAACTTGTTTTTTAAATTTTAGCTACTACTTTTTGTGAAATTCCTATTTGGCGACTGTTTATTATGTTTACAATAATTAAAAATTGGTGGCATAACATTTTCAATTTATTGATATTGCTTTGCGTTTGTCAGTTTGTTCTTGCTTTTCACGAAGTTACTTTTCAGTGATATCAAAATGTCAGCCTTTCTGTACAAGAAGGTAAGATTTTTATACATTTCATACAAGTTTTCAATGTGAATGAAATATATGTATTAGTGAGATGTTAATAGTGTTTTATATGTTACTCATAATCAGGGGCGTAGCCTGAATTTCCATAAAGGCATACTGCCAAACTACAAATGTTTTGAAAATTATATTAACAAATGAAAATTAGAATTAAATGTATTGGAAAGTTGATTATTGTTTTTATATATTAATATGTTGTTAAACTTTGCATAATACGAAAATAATGCACTTAATCAATATTGTAAATTCCTCAAATTTAAGGCTTTTTTTTTTTTTTTTCAAAACTCATATTAGTGGTGTGCCAAATATAAAATTATATATATAGTGGTTCGTGAAGTTCTAAGGGTTGATGACTGCTGACAATGGGAAACACACAAGAGGTCTGAGAGCATTTAGTCCTCATTCTTCCAAATGTGTGGCTACAGTCAGTTTCTTTTTTTTTTTTTTTTCTTTTTTTATCTTTCCAACAATACGGCCACATACAAAATCATCTAGGTGATGTTGGGAAGACTTACCAAAACATTCAAGATTGTGAATCAAATATTTTCTTTAAAACTTTCATCTAGCCCACAACTGACCACATGCATCAAATCCTTTAAATCTTTTATCAGCTCCATTGCATGATAAACAGATGAGGAAATGAAAATTTGAATATTTACACCTTTTCTTACTACTATATCTTTAACTGATTTTCGGTATTTTACTTCCTTTCATTTTGTGATTGCTATGGGTGTTAATGTTGTCCATCATTAGCAACTGTCCAGCAGCGTAACATTACAAGCCAAATTTTAAAACATCAAAATATTTAAAAGCATATTTTATAATTCCCAAAAGAGTGTTAAATGTTGCCATACATTTTTTTATTTTTACAGTCTTTTCTCAATTCATCATATCAATGTTCAGTTTTCTTATCAAGAGGAAATACAGGACTTTTTTACCGTTTTAATTTTTAATAAGCATCACTTTCTTTTCACTTGGGCCACATAAAATTCAAAACAGCCAAATAAAAAAAAAAAAAAAAAAAAAAAAAAAAAAATTAAAGCTCCTTATATATAATGCTAAATGTTGCCAATTTTTTAAGACATTTCTCAGTTCATTGTATCAAGTTTTTTTGGTAAGAGGAATTACACAACTTTATTTTATCTTAATTATTAACTTTTTATCTTTTAACTTTATTATTAAATACCAATTTCTTTGCTGTTAAACCACCATAAAATTCAATAGCAAAATCACAAAATATTTAAAAAACAACGTATCTTTAGATTTTATATTTATATACATATAGCATATTTTAGAATTCCCAATAGAGTGTTAAGTATTGATTTTTTTAATATTTGTTATATTATTTCTTTAAAAATAATACATGGTAACACACTTATATTTGAAAAGTAAAAAGTATTACAGATACAAAAATGACACATAAAAATAGAGGATTGAGACTAATGGCACCTCTGGTGCTAAAAGCTATCAGAATCTTAAAACTTTTTCTTTCAGAACTGTTCCTGAGACATCATGCATTCCCATCAATAATGCAGTATTTGAATGTCTACTGCTTACTGCTACAGAACAACTGGCAGGCAATGCAGAAGACCCAAATTTATGTACTGACTTTCAATAACAATCTTAATATAATTGGAGATAACATATTTACACGAGATAATAGATAATGTTTCTCGAAATCATTTCCAGAGACATCAATTAATCTTTCTAGCAAGGAGGAGATGTTGGTTGATCTTTAGATTATGATAACTTGGCGATTTTTTCGCGAAAATTTGGCGACCAACTCTCCTACAGCAACCCTCTATTTTTTTTTTCCCGCCGCCATTTTGTCTTCACGAAGTAAAGACATGTTTCTTTTCTTTTTATCTACTAAACACTTCTTCCAACAATCTACTAGCCGAATTACACTTATGCTAGAAATTTTTATCTAACAAAACTGCTTAATCATGACAAATATTCACTGCAAAATTGGGAAAAAGTGCACAATACCATACTCCTTACGCGTTTTTTTCAAAATAAACACATACACATAAACCATGTACACGCCGACTTATTTTTACTTAAAAAAACATCCCAGAATTACAAAAAAAATGGCATTGCGCACACTCTTCACTATATCCATGTACACTGCTTTTTTCTCATAAATTAGAAAAATTTCACGAAAATACATGACAATTTTCTGACTCTTTAAACCCGGTAAAAAGAACATATATGAAATTACCTGATCGCGAAAAAGTATATACCCTTTCCAAATATGAACATTTCCACATATAAAATAAATAAAATATCCAAAAACTTTTACCTCTAAATCATCTATTATATTATAAACGTCACCAACGAATTCATACCGCAAGCATTACAAATACTTAGTGTTAAATATTTAAATTATTTCCATGCACGTTTACTTCAACTAAAACATATACCAAATTCCTACAAACATAAAAATCACAAAATAACTATCATTTAATTAAAATATCACTAAACCATGTACACGTCGACTTATTTTTACTTAAAAAAAAATCCCAGAATTGCACAAAAATGGCATTGCGCACACTCTTCACCATATCCATGTACACTGCTTTTTTCTCATAAATTAGAAAAATTTCACGAAAATGCATGACAATTTTCTGAATCTTTAAACCCGTTAAAAAGAACATATATGAAATTACCTAATAACGAAAAAGTATATACCCTTTCCAAATATGAACATTTCCACGTATAAAATAAACAAAATATCCAAAAATTTTTACCTCTAAATTATCTATTATATTATAAACGTCACCAACGAATTCATACCGCAAACATTACAAATACTTACTGTTATTACTTATGTCTATTTCTTGCACATGCTTAAGGCTTATCAAAGTTCTGAATAAATAAATTCCCACATATAACTTAAGGCCTTACTGAAGGGCCGGTGCTAGATAGATATCTTACCACCTGATGGCAGTCTTCTGTGGGTCTTAAATTCTTTATGCTACCTCGGTGCGAGCCATGTGAGCCTCTGACGTGCTGGTTCTGGTGTTTATGTGAATAACAAATCCGTTTATTCTTAATTCAAATAGCCCTAAATGTAAA